CTGCGTTTTCAAAGCCCAGCGACGTTTGTTTGGCCGCGGTCTTCTTTTTGGAAACAGCTACAAACTGCGAAAAAACAACTCGGGCAGACTGCATGGGCAAATTGCCCTCCTGGTTGATTTCGTACAGCAGCTGATTCAGCACCCGGGGCAGCAGTACGGCATGCTTACTATCTGGCTTTGTAGTGTACAGCTTGTAGAAAAGCAGAAAGATGTCGTCAATGAACTTGTCTCGCGACTCAAAGTCGTTGGCCAGAACAATACAGTTCAGGGACTCGACGTTTTCGAGCAATTCAAAGCTCTCGGCGTAGCTGGAAGCGTCCGTGTTGGCCAGAGCTTTGAATCGCCGTTTGAACAGCTGAAACACGCGTTCCAGGTCCGAAATGGAAAGAGGGGCGTCTGGAGCAAAGATTTTCAACAGCTCCAAAAAACACAGCGAGGCGTACGCTTGGGTGGTTTGGTCTTTGGACTCGAGAATGCGCTTGTCCAGCAGCGCCTGCCGAATGGGCTTGGAGGCAGAGATATCCAGACCTCCCTGTTCCACGGTTCTCAGCTCGTCCAGGAGTTTCTACGTTAGTAAAAGGTATGAAAAAGGGCGGAAAAAGTGCGCAATTTTTTGAATACTCACCTTGACGTTGTTCTTGATGGCGCCCGTGTCTCCCTTGAGGAGATTGGTCGTCTTCAATCGCGCCTTGGCCGTCATTGAAAAGTGGTGTCGTGTTCGGGCGGGGTGGTGTGTGTACGAGATCGCGTTCGACGCGAAACTTAATGTTTTAATTTGTCTGGGGCTCGTGCAGATGAGTAAGCGAGGGAGAATTGGGGAGGTTTAAATGGGTGTTTGTATGTGGTGTTTGTGTGGTAATGGTGTGGGTTTTTGCTGGTTTTTATTGATTTTTTATTTATTTTTTACTGATTTTTTGTTGTATTTTTCTTGGTTGTTTCATCTCTATACAACGCTCTACAGTATACTGTAACCTGTGCTACTCTGCCACACGAAGACCCAATTAGGGAGTCTAGACTGAGAAGCAGGTGAGGCAGAAACGCGGGTTTGTTTTGTTTGTGTAACGAGATAATATTGAATGTACCGGGAAAATGGGTATATTATGTAGACATATGGGGCAGTAGAAAGACCTGAAACGAAAGGGAGAGTTCCAGTGTGCTAAGTAGGAGTCAACAAGTGTAGTTGAGGGGTTAACAAAAACTTCGGTGGGAGGTAATAGCGAGTTTAGATGTATGTAGGATACCCAATTGCTGACGTTGAAACTTCTAATAGTGGTATTTCACTGATTATCCCACTTTATACGGCCCAATTAGCTTCCTACGCTATAATACATCATAATCCAGTCTTAACCAAACCACGTCTACGGTTCCACCCAACTCCTTCAATAATATACCCATTGCTATGGCGACTTCACCCACGTACTCTCCGTACTCGTACGAAGAAAACAATACCCATAATGTCTTGGTTACTACTTCGTATCCCTGTTTAGCTCAGATCTGGAACTTCTATATCACCCTGCAACTGCACTCAACGCGTCGAATAATACTCTCATCGGCAGAACCACTTGAACATACTGTTACCAAAATGGAGGCAATCTTCTTTGTACCACCTATATCTTCTCTTTCGTTCTCTCTCTCACGTGTAATGCCATCACTGTCAATTTTACCACACCTCAAAACGGTATCTGGCTCTTTGAGAAATACCAGTATTCTTATAATGTCGTAATACATTGTTCCCTTGGTCGAGGCAGTTACAATGGTGCCGGTTGTGTCTCTACTACCATCTCTTCACTAGCTTTGATACAGAAATACTCATTTAGCACTCTTCTAAGAACTGATGTAACTTCACTAAAAGTAACTGTAGAGTTATGTAAACTTTACCCTCGTGTTCCCCTGAGTCGTTACGTTCTAATAGCTACACGCAACTACTTCTAGCTGTCACATTATTGTCTCTATACCCGAAACATTTATTTTTGAAGTGCAAAGAACTGCCCTCAATTCCTCAAATAATACACATATCATCACGCATGCTTGACTAGAGTGATATGCCAACTCAGGCAATTCCAATGGTACCATTCAATCCTCTCTTACTATATCCTACTCTCTTTTATATCGAATTTCTCATACAGTTTGGCAAAACTATGCTCGTCGAGATTAGGAGAATATGTCAGAAAAAGAAGAGTGTAGTTCAGGTATAGATGTAAAAGCTTTGGGAAGGCTACTCGAGACCTCTTCTTCCATTTCACAAGTCCAGCATTTCTTTAGTGTACATATTCACCTCTTCGTCTTGTAGATATGAATCCACTGTTACTGGTGCAACAACTTCAAAAATGTTAATAGAGAGACAAGGACTTCGATATCGTCTTTATTAGGCACCTAGAATCACAATCCTGTCCTTTTCTAGACGCTTTATACTTTTCTTTACGATTGTTAAAGCTGCCAGTGTCTCTATAAGCCACACCTACAAAAGACGATACGGCACGTATGAACGCGTTTCTAGACAAGAGAGTTGACCAATGCGCTCAAACACCCCACCTCTTTCCCCTTTTCAACTCCCCCTCCCTCTCTCACTATTTTTAACCCTTTTACCCCAGATACCCCACCATACCTCATGCACTGATAAAAGTTGCCGCACAAGAATGGGTTTATGTTCCGAGGAGACGAGTTCTATAACAAGCACCCAGTGCTCGATAGAAAACTCTCCATACCCAGTAGAACACTCCCCCCTCTATACACTCTCTTCTCTCGATGCACACTCCCCACTCAATACTCTCCTCGCTCTTATATCCAGATACTAATGCAATCTATTCATTCTAATCAAAACATATAAATATTCTCCCCGTAATGCTAAACCGGCGACTGCGCGTGCAGACCTACCCTTGCAGAAGGAGCCTGGGTAGGACTGTCTGGCTCTCCTGCCGAAAACGAAGACGGCTCTTCTTTTGGTTCGTCTTCCTCTCCCACCTCGGTACCAATCTGGATACCATCCTGAGAAACACCAGCAATGGGGTCTTTGATGTGCAGAGCCTTGACGGTGAAGTAGTGCAGATACCACGGCACCACTATGGCAAAGACTCCTCCTCCCACAATGTTTCCGACTGAGACACCGACCAGAGACTTGTGGATAAACAGTCCCACGCTGTGCGGAGAGCCGTTAAAAAGTCCCAGACTGATAATGAACATGTCTGCTACCACGTGGTCGAATCCAATGTAGACAAAGGCAAAGACTGGGATGAGCAGAGCCAGGTACTTTGCCACAAACGTGCGACACATGAACGACATGTAGATGCCCATACAGACCAGCGCATTACACGCCACAGCCCGTGCAAACAGCTGGGCCCAGGTTGGGTTCGTCAGCTTGGCGTTGACAGCTACGTAGGATGCATTGACCATTCCCTCGGACCTTGCTAGACCCGTGGAGTAGGCGAAAATGTAGCTGACGAAAAGCGCTCCTCCGAGGTTGCCAAACCACGAGACGACCCACGAGCGTAACAGTGCCCACACCGAGAGTTTGCGAGTTGCGCATCCGACGGTGAAAAACAAAATGTTGGAGTTGAACAAGTCCAGACCAAACATGGTGATGAGAATCAGTCCGATGGAGTAGGCAGCTGCTTCTGGCACTTTAGGAAGCCAGTCGTTTTCGCCGCCCACCTGCTGGCCGGAAACCGAGTTGCCCTGGGCCGTGATGCTGACAAACGCTCCTATAGATTGCATGACTCCTCCACACACGGAGCTGACAAACAGCTTGATCCAGCCCTGGCGGTGTTTACGGCGAGCCACAGCAACCATTTCCAGAGCACATTCCTCGGGCGGAATGAGGGGCGCGAGGGCTCGGATCACGTCGTGGTTGCTCATGTTCCTGTCCGCGTTTTTTTCTGCTGCTGGAGTCTTTCGGAACTTGTAGAAAAGAGTGTGCGGCGCAGTATGCAACATGTAAGACCTTTAGTCTTTTAGCTTTTCTCGCTGTTGTGCTAAGTGGATGAGCTTATGCAGGATGGCACGGTCTGAATGGTGGGTTCCGTTGTTAGTACAACGTAGGTGCTAACGAGTTTTTTCGTACTAACGGTGTGGCTTTTTTGACTTACATGGCGACTGTCCTGTCATTTCGTCTGTCATTGCTTTTTGTGACGTCTATATAGCTCTATTAAACAATCCATTGTGCCCACCATTTATCATATTCATGATAACAGGTCTACTTTAGCAGCAAGCACGAAGACATCCAAAGAGGCTTTAGCGAGATTAAAATATTACAAACCCGTTGCTTAAAAATAAGCCGTGGACAATCACCTGAGATAATATCCCTAAAGCACAAGACTTTCTTTTACTTAAATCTGACACAATTTCTAAGCACCATTTTCTTTTTTTCCTTTTTCCTTTTTCCCCTTTCATTGGGTTTATTGCCTCTACTGATAATCCACACCGTTAAGTCTCACCTGTGCACGGAATTATATCCCTTCATCCCTTAAACCTTGTTTCGTTATCGCGACACACCATGCACCTCCACATATCGACCTGTCACAATTAATACCCAAAGTAGGCCTATCAGCGCAAAAAATACAGCTCAAAAAAGAGCACACGGAAAAGAAAAAAGGCCAGCATTTACGCCTTTAACCTCGAAAAAAGCAAATCCGCCCACCTTGCGGCAAAAATCGCACTAGTCTCACTTTTCCCCATCGCCATTTAGCGTTCGATAACGACCCCAAAATGCCGAACACGAAGTCGTCTTTTGCGAGCCATTGAGGAGGAGGGTGGCATAAGCAACTGTTGGAAGTTGGACAGTCTGATTTGCGCTTTCCTGGAGTATATGTTTGGTTTTTTTAAAATGTCGATAACCCCTCTGAATCAGCGAAAAACGATTTTCAAAAAATAAAGTCACGTGACTTTCAAGGCTATAGCTCAAATCCTCAAATGTGGGCTCAAAATGCAAGATCAGAATTTCTGGCCTAGATGGTGCAAGCCCGAATTAAGGTTTGAGTTTGTATTTTCGAGGCCGTGAGTTCGATGCTCCAGTGGCGCAGCTGGTTAGCGCTTCGTGCTTATAGATTTTAGACTTGATCATTACTCTATGTCAAAGTCACGGTCGTGTGAGGAACGCGACGGTCGTGGGTTCAATCCCCTCCTGGAGCATTCTTTTTGGGAGGGTTGTACCCCAGTGATTCTTTTTCTTCTTCTCGTACTCGTACTCGTACTCATACGAGTACAGGTAACGTCGTTCCTTTTACATTACATTGTCTTTCATAACAAACACAGATCTATTAGCATTATTGAGTGATGAGTCCCAGAATGACGCACCATGTCAAGTTGACGACACAGTTGCACGGAACAATGAGGTTTTGAGGTAGCACGAAAAAAGCCACCATGGAAAATATGGGCCAGATGAGCCAGCTGCTTTTGAGCGTCTTCCAAAAAGATTCATGCAGCGTTCCAGAGATGGATGTAGCGTCCCAGTAGGCCGATAGAGACAGAAACATGAGTTGGAAGCCTGGATTTCCGCACAGTTGGTCAATGAGGACTCGTAGGATGGTCACAGGCACCCTAGCAATGAGCATGTCGGTCCACATTTTCGTTGTGACTCCGTTGATGACTCCCCAGACGTAGAATTTGAAGAGCTGCGAGTAGTTTGATCGACGCGTGATAAAGGCCTGGGTTATGCCCTGGCTGAGACCCGATAGACACAGACAAATGAGTGCAGCCAGTCCGAGCGGACTCTGGGTCTCCAGCTCGGTAAAATGGAGAATCACGACTCCCACGGTTATGACCTGGAACAGCACCACTGCAAACAGCTTCATGTTCCATGGCGGTCGATGAATGTGTTTTTCCGAGCCCGCGGACTCTGGAGCCCATTCCGCAGGCTTGTCCTTGATGAGACCCAGTTCAATGTCGTCTTGAGCCATGCAAGAGGATTTGGAGATGTGTGCGTGGAGGTTTGGATCTCGCGTGAGGAGGGTAATCCAGTAGATCAACCTAATTTGGTCAGGGGGCGGTTTTTCACATTACGGTCTGGGGCTATGGAAATGGAAAATGGCGTTTTCGGGCGATTCTGGAGATTCTTCAATCGCATTTTTCTTCTTTTTTATTTTCCTCTGCATTTTTCGTCCCGTTAAGGTTCACCATGTCTATTGTTCGTATGACGTATGTACGATAGGTTCTATGGTTATACATGTGAGAATCAAAAGTGAGACAAGAATTGAGACAGTGATAGATAGCAGTTGAGGGAAAGTATTCAAGTCGAAATGTCATTTTCACGTCTTTATTTTTACGTCTTTTGTTTGCCCTTACCCTGATGGCACTTATAAACAGTACTAGTAAGTCAGTCTCTTCATAAATACTGTACATTCAGTAACCGTGTCTCCAGTCTACCTCCGATGACCCCCACTCTGCGTGGGGGAGGTTGCTGTATTATACCCCAGACTTGCTATAAGAGGTCAGGAGAGCGAATGCAAGAAAGAACAAAGAAGCAATCGACCAGTCGGAGAGAGTGGACCAAATTGAGACCAATTGGGACCAATACATACAAATAGATTTCTTGTAGAACTTGTAGAATGACCTGTGGCTTGCCAAGCCGGCTGAAAAGTCAAGATGTAAAATAAAAAAATGAGCCGAGGTTGTAGAAAAAACGGAACCAGAAAAACACCAACTCTTCTCAAAAATCAACTCCGCCAACGCCAACAATCAGATCTACATAACTTCCCCCCAAATACCCCCCTCCACCTCCTCCTGTCCGGAGTCCGCTGAGATGCATGGATTTAGGTTACCCCAGAGTTCTAGTGCGTCTATTACTCACCCGCTTAACGTCTCTTCTCACACCCTCACCACACCATGGCGACTCTTCAGAAAACGATTTCCAAGTCCGGAGCGGGCGTCTTCATTCCCGGCGCCCAGGAACTGTCCTACAGCCAGTTTTTCGAGCTCATTGGCGACTTTCAGAAACAGCTGGCTCAGGTCGGCCTTCCTCCCCAGAGTGCTGTTTCTATTGCCATTCCCAACTCGCTGGAGTTTGCCGTGTCCTTCCTGGCCGTCACCTTCTCGCGATACATTGCCGCGCCGCTGAATTCGGCGTACAAAAAGTCCGAGTTTGAATTCTACATTGACGATCTCAAGTCCAAGCTGGTTCTGGTCCCTCAGGGAGCTGTAGCCCAGAACCTGGCTTCAGTTCAGGCTGCTAGAACCTTCAATGCTGCTATTGCCGAGGTCTACTGGGACGCCGGCAAGCAGCGAATTGTCATGGACGTCAAGGAAGGTCCTACTGCTGCTCCTGTAGCTGTTCCTACTCCTGATGAAGTGTCTCCTGAGGACGTGGCTCTTGTTCTGCACACCAGTGGAACCACAGGACGACCCAAGGCTGTTCCTCTGACCCAGCGAAACCTGTGTCGAACCATGCACAACATTGTGGACACGTACAAGCTGACCGACAAGGACACGACGTACCTGGTTATGCCTCTGTTCCACGTCCACGGTCTGCTGTGTGCGTTTTTGGCGCCTCTGGCTTCCGGTGGAGGCATTGTTATCCCCAACAAGTTTTCTGCCTCGCAGTTCTGGGACGATTTCATCAAGTACAAGTGCAACTGGTACACTGCCGTCCCCACCATCCACCAGATTCTGCTCAACACAAAGGTGCCCCAGCCTCTTCCTGAGATTCGGTTCATTCGATCGTGTTCCTCGGCCCTTGCACCTGCTACTTTCCACCAGATTGAAAAGACCTTCAAGGCCCCTGTTCTCGAGGCCTACGCTATGACCGAGGCTGCCCATCAGATGACCTCCAACAACCTGCCTCCTGGTCTGAGAAAGCCTGGAACCGTGGGTGTTGGTCAGGGCGTCGAAGTGGCCATTCTGGACGACAACGGAGACAAGGTGCCTCAGGGAAAGATTGCCGAAATCTGCATCCGAGGCGAAAACGTGACCAAGGGCTACATCAACAACGCCGAGGCCAACAAGTCGTCTTTTACCAAGGGCGGTTTCTTCCGAACCGGAGATCAGGGCTTCCTGGACAAGGACGGCTTTGTCAACATCACCGGCCGAATCAAGGAGCTCATCAACCGAGGCGGAGAGAAGATTTCGCCCATTGAGCTGGATGGAGTCATGCTGGAACACCCTGCCGTGGCTGAAGCTGTCTGTTTTGGAGCCCCTGATGAAATGTACGGACAGCAGGTGAATGCTGCCATTGTGCTCAAGAAGGACGCCAAGGCGACCGAGAAAGACATCAAGGACTTTATGGCCGACAAGGTGGCCAAGTTCAAGGTTCCTGAGCGGGTTTTCTTCACCGATATCATGCCCAAGACCGCCACTGGAAAGATTCAGCGTCGATTTGTCGCCCAGAAGTTCCTCGACAAGGCTAAGCTGTAAGGGGTTGTCCGTGAGTATGTACTGTACCTATATTTTTTAAAAGATAGGATAGATGAGTAGAGAGAGAGAGTAGAGAGTAGGGAGTAGATGTGCGTATATCGTGTAGCAGACAAATATAGGGTATCTTCGGAGTGTATGAAGTTGACAAATACCTATACAGGTACTTTTTATAAGTTGAGGACTACCTGGTGTACTCTGTTGAGGACTACTCTGTGTAAGACGGTATGGATGGACGTCTTAGTTTTCAAGTATGAGAGAAATGAATAGGACTATGGGAATGCTCAAAGTGTGAGGAACAAGATGATCAAGTCCTTATAATAATACGAGTATTTCTGGAGAAGTTACATGAGATGTGCGAAAGTAGTAAAATTGGTAAAATTGGAACATGAACGCAAAACTCGAAATGTAGCAATACCAATGGTATATTTGTAATCCCCTATATTGTGGGAACACAATGGTCAAGTCGGCTAGATTATGGGAGTATTTCTAACGAAGTTGGGGGCTGTCGTGTGAAGAAGTCGCACGGAGAGAGTAGGCTTGAAAAGTTAAGGAGAGATCGTAGGAGAGACGTGAAAGGTAAAGGCATAATACTCCGGCGTTTAGAACGTTTTAATCAAGTCTCTTTGTCTGTGTGGGTATTTCTGAGGATTTGGAGCCAGGTCTGTCAAAAGTGAAAATTTGATGAATTGATTTATCAGGGCTAAAAACTGTGACAAGATAAAATCAGACTTGTCTAGCGTACTCTGCGGAACCTGAAGACGACATTGATCCCCATTAACTATCTCTTACCATCTTTCGCAGAATTTTGTCACTTCCACTCTCAATTTTGTCACTTCCACTCTCAATTATACCAATCTGCACAACTCCCCGTAACCCTAGAATCAAGAAAATAACTTGTCTTATAACGATTAATTCACTGTGGAAAAAAAATTCTCTAGTTCCCCACACGTATAGATTTCATATGATTTTCCCTCTTGTCTCGTCCACTACCACTTGTCTGTTTTGAGCGCCGACTATGCAAATTACCGTTTCACAGAACTCATCTAACTCCTCCTAAAATACTCTCAACACAATACAGACCTTACCAATTTGTTCTTCAAAGTCAGGCCCTTCTCTTTGTACCCATCATGTCTTGTCTGTTACATATTTACAAGTTCTAGCACGAGTATCCATCCTCACAGCTCCCAAAATGAACTACCCTAACTCGGTCAAAAATACTCATACAGTTATGTCCACTTGACCATCATGCTCCCCTCAACTTGGCGATTCCATTGATACCACGCAAGTACTCTCTGTTATCTTAGAATCTCTTTTGAAACTGATTCTCTCTTTTTAGGCTTGGCCATACAACTGCTCCAACTCACTCAGAATTACCCCCATCATGAGTCAGAGTAACTTGAGGGAAGTATTGGAATCTCCTGGATCAGGGGGACACGTCAGTTGACTCGAAATTGCGAGGGGAGTATTTCTGATGAAACTAAGGGCAGTACTGTGCAAAATCGAAAATATGTGTTTCAGCTTTAAAAGTGGAATCTGAATTGTGGAAAGGAGACGAAGAGTACCACAGGAAGCTATTCAACTTGAAAAGTTGTATGGATCTCTCCCCATGGTGATACGTGTATTTTTAGGAGAGTTAGGAGCAGAGATAGGGTACAAGTAGATGAGCGCTAGTTCCATTGAGGTATAGAAAGGTACTGCTACAAGTACAAGTTCTTTTAGAGGTTTAGAATGCGTTTATGATGTATGATTTGATGGTCTTATAGACTGTCACTAGCAATAACATA